GGCAGCGTGCATCGTTGTGGAACGAGCTTGGGAAATGGGTCATCGGCGCTCACTCCGACCATGTTTGCGTGATACCGCCTGCGCTTGAGCTCAGGCGCGTGCTCTGGCGTCGGCGCCGGCGTCGGTTCAGGCCCTGGCCCAGTCCTGCTCTTTTGTTGCCGCAGCTGTTCTCGAGGCCTGCACGCTAGCATTCCAACGATTGGCGGCAGGGGCTGGAGGCTGGACTGGCGCGGGCGGCGACTCATGCCGCGCGCCCGTCTGGTCACCCCTCGCGGCGGGAGTGGGCTCAACAATTGTGAACATCGTTCTCCTCGTCTCCTCAGTACCGCCCTCCGTGGAGCTTCCTCGCGGCATACATGCAAACTCCGTCGCACCCTGTGGAATAATACCCTTATCATCCCCATCCTCGAGAGGATTGATAGTGAGCTGTGCATCCGTATATTCGCCTGTCGTCGCGCGATGCTGCCCCGTCGTCATCGCCGCATCTTTTGCACAACACCATTGTTTGAACAAGAATAACTGGACGGCGCTCGGCATCAGGGCTGCCTTGAGCGCCCCTCGCGCCGCCAGGTGCATGCTCTGAAAAAAACTGCGGCCGACTCTCAGTGTCGCGCTTCCTTCCCCATACCACCTTGGATAACAATCGTCCCTCACAGGCGTGAGTGGTTTCAATAGCGTTTTTGTCAGCCGTCATCCCCTCCACAGCAAAGAGAAAGCGGCTCCTCGCCCGTGAACCATAACGTTGCAATCGTTTCTTCAGCTTGATACCCTGACACATATAGCACTTCTTCTCCTGCCAGAATGCACGCTGAGCGAGAGAGAGAGAGAGAGAGAGAGAGAGAGAGAGAGTCGGTGAGCCAGGGCTTCATTCTGGTGCGTTTTACTTTCAAGAATAGTTCCCACGATACCCCGCCTATCCGTCGCCTGCAAAATGATTGTGGCCCGTCGTTTTTTGTCAAATGACAGTTGGTCGCTCGCCGTCCTCTGGTCTCGTGGCCCCCTCCGAAATCGATATTCAATAAGAACTTCCAGAGGGTCGGATACAATATCATCATAACCAAATCGAACGCATTGTAAACTGCTCGGGTTCCAACGATAATTTCGCTGATAGAGAGGTGCGCTGATTTCAGCAATCATGGTGGCCATCGCATCCGGGCCCCTGGCACACAGGAGGGCATTGTCAGCCCAGGCAGATCGCATGGGCGAGGTGTCGACTCCAAGCCTGCGCCGTCAACTGCACCCCCATACTGCGGTGCTGCCCACTCAACACGGCAGAGCGAAACATGACCACGCTCTCACACAGCCAGAAGAGCGGTGCCTCAACGCTGCCCGTACGAATGCAACTGTCCCAAGCAATATCCGCGACATCGACCTGCTGGAAAGATAAGTCGGCCCGATTATGTGCCATGCCCTCCACAAGGGCATAAACTAACTGAACAGGGAATCGCAATTCCAAGGGAGAATCCACAACATCCGTGACCTGGACATTGTCGAAGGCGCGGTACACATCTAAACTCGCCATGTGCAGGCACTACTCATTCCCCCACTCCGTCGCGTGCTGCACTACTCTCTTCACACCGCTAGCGACTTCACGTGGCAACGCCCCGTTTGAGGTGGCCCACGGCCAACAAGGTGAGACATGCCATGTGCCACTTCGACAAACAAGATAATAGTGAGAGAGCTCGTGTGTCACCGAATTCGCAAGTCTTGGTCGGCTTTGGCATAAGCTGTATACAAATGTGGCGCCATACTGTGGAAGTGCAATGCTCGCGCTGGAACAGCTGTTGGGAACACAGCAACACCTGCAGGCAACCATGGCCATGGGATGTGCTTAAGCATAGAGACGCTGCGGTTGTCCTTACCCACGGCCTTGCCAGTGCGCAGACGGGATCTAGCACGCATGAGTACATCGATATCGATGGGCTGGTGCTCGTGCTCATTCACCTCCTGAAGCCCCCTCCTCAACTCCGCCAGCGTGCTGTCGGTCCGTGCACGTTCGTTCTCACCCGTGTACATGCGCAGGGCGTCCTCTCTGAGGGCTCTCTCCCACTTGGATGCGCGTCTTAAGGCGCGCGCAATGCTGGGCACCTGGGCGGAACTCATGCTCCCAAATGTTTCTCTTGTGTTTCCTTCTCTCACGCCTGCATCTCCTCCTCGCCATCTTAAGCTCCTCCTCCGCGCACGGACCACTCCCCCACTTCCGTCTCATTTCCAGGGGCCCCTCACGGGCAGAGACGTATTTCTCAGAAATCTCCGGGGTCAGATCGATCTTGGTGGGTACCGCACCAATGTCCTCACAAGGCTGTCTGATCCTCTCGCCTAGCTCCGTGGGTGAGAGACGTGCAGCGCCGCTCCAGCCCGTCTGGTCTGTCTGACTGCCCCCCGATACAAGGGCCGCATCCACCACGTAACGCAAGAGGTACACGATGAGACTCAACCTGCCAACGCGTGTTACGCACAGCACTGTGGCGCGCGACTCGACGTGGCAAGACGCGAGCAGGGATGCGCAACCGTAGAAGGCCACGATCACTCCAGAACTTCGAGGTGGATCTCCCAGGCATTGACGCCGCACCAGGCTGGGGACAGGAGACGGAGATCTCTGGAGCACCCCAAGACGGAGGTGCACATATGTAACCGTAGACGTGTGAGAAATGTTGTTCCTGTGGTAAGTGTCTGTGGTGATTCCATTTAGCAGACCGCCAAGTAGGGGGCCCCTCGGGGTTGAACGCGTTTGCCAACTGGAGGCCCAGGGCGCCGATGGCGAAGGTCAGGGCCTCACTGAACTCCAGAGCGAACTCCGTGGATCTTTTGAGAAATCCGCCATTCCTCGTGCGAGGAACACTAGGCACACCCACAACACTAGGGCCCGAGACGGCCAGAGACTTATGGGACACTTGAGGCTCAACCTCCACATTAGCATCGGTTCCTATAACACGAAGCACGATCCGACGAGGTTGGTCAGAGCTCAACTCGATCTCTAACATGGTCGGTTAGAGCTCAACCGAGCTCGAGCGAGGGCGGGCAGAGCTCAAATCGAGATCTAACATGTTCAGTTAGAGCTCAACGCGAGCTCTAACAAGCTCGGTTCGGGCTCCATCGAGCTCTGGCCAGCGCGGTTAGAACTCGAAACGAAATCTAACGAGATCGGTTAGAGCTCAACGCGAGCACTAACGCGGCTGGTTGGAATTAGTCACCATGGCGGGATGCGCACCGCATGGTACTATTTGGCAAGGCTCGCGCGAGTTTAGGAAGTAGCCGCCATAGCGGGACGCGCGCGGCATGGTATTATTTGACAGGGGCCGTTCGAGTTTAGGAATTAGCCGCCATGGCGGGATGTGCACAACAGGATACGATGTCACAAGGACCGTGCGAGACTAGGAATTGGCAGCCATGGCGGGATGTGCACCGCATGGTGTTATTTGACAGGGATCGTGCGAATTTAGGAATTAGCCGCCATGGCGGAACGCGGGCGGCATATTATTATTTGGCAGGGATGGTGCGAGTCTAGAGAATAGCCGCCATGGCGGGCTGCGCAACGCATGGCACTACGCCAGCGAGTGAAGGGCACGCCGAAATGTGAAGGCGCACGCGTGCGAGACGGCCGCTGGCGCACAATTTAGCGGGGCGTCGTGTGCGACAACGAAGTGCGTGAGGGGTGTGCCCGCATGGGCGGGGCGCGCGCGTGCAAACCTGCCATTGGGCCCCTCGGTGGGGCCCCCGACGGGGCCGCGAACGCAGCGCGCGCGGGCGCGCGCGTCGTCGCGCGCTCGCCAATTTGAAAGTTAAGCCCCTCCTCTACCGAACCGCCAGCCCCGAGAGGCCCCCCCAGGCGCGCATGCACGACGCCGAAGGTGGAGCCCTCAAGGCCCCCTGGGGGGCCCAAACAGAGGCCTGAGGGCAGGGGCAGAGCGCTGCGCAGGCAGCGCGACGCTGCGCTGGTAGCGTTGCCTCTCTCGCACGCCTGGCGGGCGGGAGGGGGGAGAAGCGCCGGGGCGGCGGTGGCACACGCGTCGATTAATCGCGACCCCCCCCCCCCTCCTCCTCATCCTCTGGCGCGAAAGCCACGGGGGCCCCGAAGCGCGCGAGGGCGCGCCGAAGTGGGTCGGCGGCCCCATGCGAACGCAGGAGCAGGGCGGACTGGAGCAGGACGGAGGACGACGCCAGAACGATTGAGAACATGATAGAGAATGCAAGGGGGAGGGGCAGGAGGAGGAGGAGGAGGGAGAGGAGGAGGAGGAGGACGAAGACATTATGGCATCTGAACCCCTCCCCCCGGGCTTGGCCGCAACCGCGGGCGCTGTTTCAGCCGACCCGTCCGTTGGCGTCCTGGCCAACGGGGCCGGAAGCCAGCCGCGCTCGCGCTTGCGGGCCGTCGCGGACATGCCCGCGCCCGAAACCAAAACCGCCGCACTGAAAATCAAACCAAGTGCCTACGGGCAGTTCGGCTAGAACTCAAATCGAGCTCTTAGAGTAGCGGTTGGAACTCAAAACGATATCGGGCAAGCTCGGGGAGAACTCACATCGAAATCTAACCAACGCGCTTGGGGCTCAATTCGGCATCTAACCAGGTCCCCAGTCGAGCTCTAACAACGGCGGTTAGAGCTAGAATCGAAACTTAACAAGGTCGGTTGGAGCTCAGCGCGAGCTCTAACAAGGTGGGTTAGAGCGCAATCGAGCTACAAGCAGCACGGTTAGAGCTCACATAGAGAGCTAGCATGTTCAGTTAGAGCTCAACGCGAAATCTGGCACGGTCGGTTAGAGCTCGATCCATCTTTCACCAGGGCGGTTAGAGCTCGAACCGAGATCCAACGAGGTCGGTAAGAGCTCAACTCGAGCTCTAACATGGTCGGTCAGAGCTCAATCGAGCCCTCGCGAGGGCGGGCAGAGCGTAAATCGAAATCTAACAAGGGCGGTTAGAGCTCAACGCGAGCTCTAACAAGCTCGGATCGGGCTCAATCGAGCTCTAACCAGCGCTGTTCGAGCTCGAACCGCGATCTAACAAGATCGGTCAGAGCATAATCGAGCTCCAACCAGGGAGGTCAGAACTCAAGTGGAGCGCTGTCAGGGGCGGTTATAACTCAATCTAAAGGAAGGCTCGCAGGCGAACCCCTGGGAACCTGGGCCCATCCATGGTGCGTGCGTGTGTGTGTGTGTGCGTGTGTGTGTGTGTGTTGTGTTGTGTGTGTTGTGTGTGTTGTGTGTGTTGTGTGTGTTGTGTGTGTGTGGTGTGTGTGTGTGTGTGCGCGTGCGCGTGCGCGTGCGCGTGCGCGTGCGCGTGCGCGTGCGCGTGCGCGTGCGCGTGCGCGTGCGCGTACGCGTGCGCGTGCGCGTGCGCGTGCGCGTGCGCGTGCGCGTGCGCGTGCGCGTGCGCGTGCGCGTGCGCGTGCGCGTGCGCGTGCGCGTGCGCGTGCGCGTGCGCGTGCGCGTGCGCGTGCGCGTGCGCGTGCGCGTGCGCGTGCGCGTGTGCGTGTGCGTGTGCGTGTGCGTGTGCGTGTGCGTGCGCGTGCGCGTGCGCGTGCGCGTGCGTGCGCGTGCGCGTGCGCGTGCGCGTGCGCGTGCGCGTGCGCGTGCGCGTGCGCGTGCGCGTGCGCGTGCGCGTGC